TGAATTTGGCAGTATCTAGCAAAATTACCCTTGCATTTACTCTCAGATCATGTAACTTTCTTCTTGGGATTACACAGATATATTAGCAAAAATAGGAAATGACTTATGCACAAGGCAACAGCATAATTTGTAGCAGCAGAAGATTGAAAACAACCCAAATGGTTCATCAATAGGTAACTGGTTGAATAAACTGCAGTACCTCTACACTAATGAATACCACGCAGCTATAAAAATGAATCAATAATATCTTTCTACATAGTTAGCTCTAGTGTTAAGAAAAAGAAAGAGTACAAAATATAGCTAGACATATTTGTCTAGCTTACAAAAAAGAAAGGTGAAAAAGAGAGTATGTATAGTATACAGTATGCTACCAATGTTGGGGAGGATACAAAATATAAGTTAAGGTTACTTATTCTTCATTTTTAAAAATAAGACAACCCAAAAAACTAAAGAGAAAAAAAGAATACCTGAAAAAGCAGGGGGAACAGTAATATAAGCTTGATTTCTATAATATAGCTCTTTCATAAATTTCATTTAGAAACCATGTATATATTCTACATAGTTGTAAGAAAAAAGGTACTTTGAAGACAATCACTAAATACTGAAAGTGAAATGAAACAAATGAATCGAACTGTATACTGAAATAGTGGCATGATCACACAGAGAATTATTTTAAGTGACTTTAGAGCACAGTAATTTTACTATGTATCTCTAGTGAATATAAACTAAAGTCCCAAAAACTAATCGCAAAAATCTTAGACTGTTTTCAGAAATCGTATGGCACACGGCTGTACAGGTACTGGAATCTGAGACTGGTTGGTGTGCCCTGGACACAGAGCAGAGCGTTACTGTGCTGTGTCACTGCTGACCACGATTTTCAGCATCATGGTTGCTGTGGAAAAAAGGAGATGAAAGATCAAAAGGTAAAAGTGCAAGTGACTGAAAGATGTCCAGTTTATTTAATCCCATAAATGCAAAATAGTATGTATTACCCCCAGTAAAAAATAAAAACAAACAAACATCATTGATCAGTTTTGGAGGATGCTAGGTTCACTTTGAAAACTGGTAAATAAAAAGAAAGAATATAACATTTATCCTTCTCTTTCTGGGCAAAAAGTATCTGTCTCAGGATAACCAAATGAGTGCTGAGAAAAATTTCTAGTTACTAAATGAAGAAGGAATGACAGAATTAGCTGTTAACTATTTTGCAATTTTGAATAAATGTGACTGAATATCCAAAAGAGACAACCAAAGATTTCCTGTGTTGACAGATGCATATCCTACCACCTATACGGCATTCTTACAAAAATAAAAAATTAAAATAAAACTTGAATCAGATTAAGCCTCTACACCAAGTTACAACAAATACAACAGAGGAACATATCAAATATTACCATGGGGACTTAATTGACAAAATACAGGCTATTAGAAATGCTACAGAATAAAAACCTAGTCTCTTCAACAAATAAAATGTAATTAGAGAGATAGAGAGAGAAAAATGGAACCTATAGATTTAAAGACATTTAAGAGTCATAACAGCTATTTATTGATGGTTTGGACTTTATCTGAATTCTGGTATAAACAACCTGTAAAAACACAGATTCATTCCAGACTTTCATTCACCCAATTAGGGACATTTGAACACTGAATATTCAATACTCATTAAGAATTGCTATTCAATTTGGGGGTATTATAATGATATTGTGATTATAGCTACAAAAAAGGAGTCCTGACTTTTAGAGATTAATTTCAAAATAGTTACAGATAAGACGACAAACTCTCTGGGATAGGCTTCAGAATAATCTGATGGGGAGGAGTAGGTAGTATAAAGATAAAACTGTGTTGTCTGTGAGTTGATAGTTTGCCAAGATGGGTGGTGGGTACTTGTCTCTCTATCTAAATAACTAATAGGGTATTTAAAGAAGTGAATTTAAATATGAGATTAAATGCAAAGGAAGTTTTGGCAATGATTATGAAAAAGTGGAAGGACCTGGCAGATACCATGTGTGACTCACAAAGTGGAGAGGCAAGGCAAGGCAAACACATTCTTTGGGAGGTTGAATGCTTATAAAATAGCAGTATATCTATTCTAATTATTTCTTCCATGCTTCACGGGTAAGGTAGGTTCAAGCACCACATATATGCCTCCTAACGAAGAGGAGACTGTCATCACAGGCTGACTCTCCCAGGCAAAAATATAACCCTGAGGCAGCCACCCCGGGAAGGTGCAGATGAAGCAGGAGAATGCTGTGAGGAGAGTGTGATGCTCAGATGTGGTCAGAGTTCCCCTGGATACCAGAATGCACTTGGTTCCCAAGCTTCCCTGTGAATATGTACAAGTGAAACAGCATGAAGAATGACATGCTGTCAACAAAAATGGGAAAAAACCCTTTAGAAGACAAATCTTATAAAGCAAATGTAGTTCCTTTTTATTTGTGTTTTTCCCGGCATCATTATACATTTTAAGTAATAAAATTAAAATTGTATTTTAAAAAACAACATGAACATTTTAAAAGTAATTTTAAGGACTATAAGGAGAGTACTACTCTAATTAGAATAGCTTACACCATGAAACAGAGACCAGGAACTGTAAAAGAAAGTTCTGAATCTTGAAACAGCAAAGTAGGACTTGATACCTTACTAGTTATTCATGATGACTTTATTTTAGTTTTATTCTTTCTTTCCCCATGAAAATGTGGAGTTTATATCAGTGGTTCTCAAGGGTGGAGTGCACATTTCACAGGACGTAGGAAGAAGCAAGCAGCTGGTACTACAATTTTAAAGTAACTCTGGGTGGTTCTGACATACACTGTGACCATACCAGAGGATCGCTCCTTCCTTAGAAGGCCTGTCTGCAGCCAAAATGTACCTGAGATCATCAACATGGAAAGTTGGCCATTACTACTGCAGACACCCCTTTCAACTAAGCACATCTTCCACATCAGATATGCACTGCCTCAGGACTCACACACCTCCCTGCCTGCCCAGCATGGGGGCAGCTGCGAGCTGGGAAGATGGTAGGAGGACCAGAGGGGATCCCACTGCAGGCCATCTGCCCGCACGTGTACCACACACCTGCTTACCTACACCACTGCTCCCATCTGGCTGAGGGGTGTTGGCAAGCAGATGATTTCAGTGTTCTCTGCAGTCAGACGTGTGAGTCCCATAGAAAACGGCTCAAAAAAAGTGTTTAGACCACTGAAAACACTTCTTGCATCTCTAAAATCTTCTCTCATCCCTTGACATGCCTGAGGCTATCATGGTTTTTGATAATGCTGACTGGTTCAGTGTGGACAAAACACATAGACCGTGAACAGCATCCCTCACTACAGGTGATCCTGAGTTTCATCCCTATAATGAATGACCTCTCATGCCAGATGGACTTGTTTCTTTGATAACTACACTGTCCGCAAACCCATTCTTTCTCTAATAAAAATGGAGGCCTTTTTAAAGTAGGTGGCACCTTGTATGTGGCACGTTTGAAACTGCGGTGCAGTGGGCCGAAATGAGTAAACAAATGCTTCACATTTTATGATTAGGAAAGAGGCCTGGTTTCTAAGATCATTCCCAGTAAGGACTCTCATCAGTACAGACACAGTGAGGTCTGCAGTCTATAAAAGTATCTAGGAGGACCTGTGCCCCTCCCCACAGCCCACAAAATTAAAAGCCTCGATAATATCAGGTAATGCTTCAGTATTATTAACTTTCAAATTATTAAAAGTCACAAAAATTTTTAACATTTATATTTAATATTAAAGACCATATCCATAACAAATTTAAAACCAAATTACTTATTTTAGTTGAGCTCTAGATGTTCTCTATATGTTGGAATAATCTCCACTCCCACTACTTTATAATATTACTTTCCTAAATTTCTTATAGGTAAAGGATTCCATGTAGGACACAGCGGGTTTTAGGAAAACTCAGACTTATGACCAAAGAATTAGGAAAACACTTGCAAGCTACACTCATCCTCCCCATTCTGGTCATCACCATGTTTTTAGGACATCTGTCACTATGTTATGTGTCCCAGCATGGACAGGACTGAGAAAGAGAGGGGAAATGAATCCCTCTGTAAAGGCAGAGTTTTATTTTAGGTGTACCAAGGCAGGGGCATCTTATTGTTCCAACCTAAACACACAAGGTACATGTTCAGAGAAGCTACAGTAAAGGCACAGGTTTAAGACTCTAATTAGTCAAACTATGATCCTTGCAAAAGCTAAGTAAAAACCTGAGGGAATAGGAAAAAGGAATAAAAAGAAGAAGTCACTCATGATATCTAGAATGTCAAGACCTGGATGGACTATACACAATGCCTGACTAAATAGGACCTGGAACTAAAACAAACACAAAACACAACAGAATACAACAGAAAGCAACTAGACAAATAATTAAACCAAAATTAAAAACACACTTTTGAAAGATCAGTCAGGAAATATTTCCTCCCAGGAAACTTGACTTTTACAATGACAATTCAGTTATTCTGGTCTTATTCAAATTATGTAGGCATTTTCTTGAGGTGATACGAATTATCATTTCTTGGATATGGACTAATGTGTCCACGAAAAGAAGATATAGTCACACTAAATCAAAGCCACAAATACCTGCAGAGCCTTAGAAAGTATGAGCACTAGATCAATATCACACAGACTTCCTGATCTTACCTACCATTAAACACAGAAAAGCCTTCCATGTGAAAGGCTTTGCCCGACTATCATAAGTATTCCCCACATAGCAAATCTCAATGAATCACTAGAACATTTTCCATTCTTAACTACTAGTAAAATATTTATATTCTTTTATGTTTATTGGAATTATTATTTTGACTATTTCTAAAAATATAAGCCCTCCCCTATGTAACTAAGCCATATGGCATTCAGTCCACCAGACTTCTTAGTCAAAGCTGATTAAGAGATGAATTAAGATCAGTTAATGGAATAACAAAATATTTGAAGATAAAATATCTAAGTATACATACAAAATGCAATTGTAATACTTACCTATCAGACCCTTCTCAAGAGTAAAGGTTTTGTTTGTAAACATACATTCAAAAGCCACAATGTGAAAAATCTTGTTCACTGTGTTGTGAGTCCCAACTATTCGAATATACCTGGGGGTAAAAAGAAAAGAAAATCTGTTGAAGAAAATGAGCTTCCATTGCAACCAATCAAAAATAACAGAATAAGGTATATTACATATAATACAGTGTACCATGGCACGAACTAAAAGAGATTTTGAACTAGACTTCAGACCCTGCTCCTTAGAGCTAGCAAAATTAGGGAGATACCACTTCCCAGAGCATTAAGTAGAAGTTAGATCTGATTTACCTAGAAAATCAAGCCAGGTACTGTTCAGCTCACACCCTGAATGTCAGTACAATTATACATCCATGAGACATTTATGCTGGAGACTAACAAACAGCTTCTATCTTCACTTTGTGGTTAGGAATGCGCCAGTGGAGAGGTACACAAACACGCACAAAATCAAATGCTTTCCAACTCAGTGAAAGATTTCATCCATTGGAGACAAATGCATGAAATCAATATTGCTTTCTTATTTAAAAGAAAACCCACAGAAACTACTAGAAATGATTCAGTTTCTTGTATTTTAATATTGCTCCCAAATCCTTGTTGGAAAGTTAACCCATTAGACTTACCCCAGCCCCCCACTTGACTGCTGGGAAGCCTTCTCCTGACCTGGGGAGGTGATGTACAGGGGTGACCCAGCCTGCTCTGCAGCCTCCCTCCTGGCCACACAGATCTGGCATCTGCACACAGTGCAGAGTTTCACGGGGCTGGTCTTGAGCATCTTGGCCTGTTCCCCCCTGTATCTCCCTGGAGGCTTCACTTCCAGCAAATAAGCATTAACCTTGGAGTGACTTGTTCAGATCATTCTCCAAAGGTATCCGACAGTTCACAGGTTAATGAATAGACAAACTCATTCTTCTGAGTGTCACAAAAATCCATGGGGAATGTGCCACATTCTTGTTGGAATTCAAAGGAAGAACCAGGAAAAATAAGTACATTAACTGATAATGCTCTACCAAATTATGAACTATGTGCTCTACAGGATGGGACATATTAAACGAACAGATTTCAATTAGGAGATGACAGACTGGGCCAGGGTTAAGCAGTATCCTCTCCACACTGTGTAAAACAACCTCCCACTTAGATGATATAATTTACTTCTGAGTTAATCGCTGTTCACTAATTTGGTAATTTCCTTACATTTCTCATCACTCCAAGTTAACTGTATAACGTAAATGCTGATTTAAAAAATTCACATTAAAGAGATTCGGGGGTTTTATATCATCAGTATTTTCCCTCCTGTTTCTTCAAGCCTGAATCTCACAGCATTCCCTGTGCACCTCATTTAGCCATCTGCTCCTTGAGACGAGCTGATCACTCATCTTCATAACCAATATAAATGCCATCTCCTGGGCTGTGTTCAGCATGCCCACATCCAATACAGAGTGATGCTGTTTTTCCTCTGTGGAGAGTCAGGGCAACTGCTCCATCACCTGAGCTCTCTGGTGAAGCAGGAAGTTGGCCTTGATCTGTTCTCTTGAGCCCTCAAAGGAGACCGAAGTTCCTGAATTTACTGGGTTTGGGGGGGTAGCTGGGGTTCTTTCAAAAGAAGTTTCTAGCCCTGACTGGTGTAGCTCCAAGGTTGAGAGCCTGCAAACTGAAAGGTCGTTCTTTTGAATCCTGGTCAGGACATATGCCTGGGTTGCAGTTTTGGCCCCTGGTTGCAGGCGTGCAAGAAGAAACTGGTGTTTCTCTTGTATATTAATGTTTCTCTCCTTTCTGCCTCCCTCCCTCACTCTTTAAAAATAAATAAATAAAATCTTAAAAAAAATCTAAATGGTCTGAGCAGAACAGATTGTGTTGTTCTTTACTGTTGATGGTGACACTCTCTCGGGGCTTTCTGGAAGGGGAGGGGTGTGTTAAGCCTGGCACCTTGGCCTGAATCTAATTTTGTCCATTTCCTTCAACCCACAGAAACTCAACCAGCATAGCATTTTCAACCGCTTATGGTTGTGACAGCCTGAGTGCTGCTGTCTGCAACCTCAGAAGGAATGGAGGGAATGCGGTTTGGTGGAATTTGATCAGATCATTTTCCTGTTCCGTAGTTCCCCTAAAGGAGAGACAGCTCTCCTAATACTATGCAAGAAAGAGGAGCCAGGAAGTGACTAATAGGACCTTTTCCCATTGGCATTTCTTAAGGTTAACAGTCTGACTGACTAAGGGATGCAATAATAATCCCCCACTCCCTTTCTTTCTTTTCAAAATATTATATGGAACCAAGATCTCATAGTCATTTCCCAAATTTTACCCCCTGCCTCGCTCCCCAATTATAAGGAACTGAAAATAAAAACTGTACTAGAATACATTTTACAGCCTTAATGATAGTGTTTGTGATAACAAAAAGATAATACATATGGTTGGAAAAGCACTGAGAGATGCCTCCAGATGAAAAGTTCTATATAAATGAAGATAATGTTATCTCTGCTACACAATCCTGAGGTCGAACTAGCAATTTACCACTGTATATCACACTTCTTGATTAGTCTGTTAAATGTAATGCTTATAACAAGTTTAATTATTCTATTTCTACAATACTAAGTCTCCATAAAATTATAGCATAATTTATAAAAATGGCATAAAGTTCCTATTCAAATACACATTTTTAAAAATGGTAAGAAAGTCACAAGAAAGAAACCATGTTTCTTTTCTCCACCAAGTTGCTGCTGAGCACAGGATTCTGTCCTTTGCTGAAAATCTCAACTAGAGCTAGCAAACAGGCCTCATATCATGCCCCTGTCTCACTGACTGGAGCTCTACGTTACGAACATGGAGGCCTGTGCAGCTCAGAAAGAGAAGAGCCCTGATCCATGAGCAAGGTCCAGATGGACAGGGAGGCAGCACAGATTTTCTTAATGGGGCTCACCATGGAGCCTCCCCGAGGCAGAGGAGAAGTTATTACTACCTGAGATAGTGAAAATCCAAGGGGTGGGCGTGGAAGAGAGTCCTCTCTTACTTACTTTTTTGAAAAACAGAGCAAAACTTGCTCTGTGTCATAACACTTAAACAGGAGAGGTAGACACCACATGTTTTTTTCTGTCACAAAAGATTTTGAATAATAAGCAAAGTTTAAGATTAACTTTTTTCCTTTCAACATCATCTTTTCAATGCACAGTCAGACTTAGACTTAACCCGATAATAAGGGCAGTGACAGCTAGTGACTTCATCAGTGTTCAGAGAGAATACTTTTGAAAAATATAACAGCGATCCTTTGTTCTCTTGAAGGTCCTCAACAGCAATGTAGACAGTTGGAAGATAATTAAAACTTAAACAGTGCTAAGGAAGGCAGATATGTGACAGATTGGACATTTCTTGTGAGGATGAATGCTGTCCACATGAGCCCCACTGTAACAGTCTGCTTCCAAAATTCTCCCTTCTCTATGTTAGTTGTTAGTTGCTAACAAAGATTGGGTCTTGAACACAGTTCACAAAAGGATGTTTCTTTCTGATGCTGAAGTTTCTAGGAGCTATAATATTGTGGTTGAAACAGATTTTGTCTTCGCCAATGAAATGGAACCTAAAATCTCCAAGGATAGCACTCTGAAACTGAAAGGCACCAGAGTTTTGAAGAACATGCTTTGGAGTCTAAAAGAACCAGGTTTGTAGCCCAGCCCCACCATTTAATTATTTGTGTCACTTTGGGAGGAAAATGCTTTAAGCCTTTTTAAGCTTTAGTTTCCTTCTCTATAAAAGGAGGTCAGTAACACAGACCTTATAGAATATAAATATGTAAAGTGTCTAATGGCATTGCTTGGTAAAGCAGGATAAGTTTAAATAAAAATTTAAAGAGCAGATCGTTGAATACAAAAGTTCTTGGCTTGAACTTAGAAATCCGTTGTCGGGGAGAGAATTCCTACTGTGGCTGTTAAAATGGTACATCAGTAATCAGGCAGGCCCAGGGGCAGACTCTGAAGGAAACCCAGGCAGGATCTCATCCTTCCTCTTAGGGCATGATGGCAAAAACGCTAAGGGCCACAGTGAGAAGCTGCATCCCAAGTATGGATGACCTGGCTCTGAGGTATTTCTGCTTTAAGGCCCTAGTCTCTAGAAAAGCTTGTTTAAAATGCATTTGACCTGACTCAGCTATACATAAGAAGGCAAGGGAAGAATCTTTTGCCCACATTTGGTCCAGCAACCCATACCCAGCAGAACATTTTTTTATTGTATGAACCATAGAAGTTTAAGAAAAACAGAATTTCCTAGTGGTAGATAGACATCAGAATACTGTGCCCTACAGAAATTTTGCTTTGGAGATTTCATTATATTCCTTGTCTGCTCTGAGAAGGTACAAATTCCTATTTTCTTAACCCATGTTTCCATCATTTCTTATCAGGATGCTAGCAGATTTAGTTCCTAAGTCACACGTATTATATCTTTAACATACTAAAAAAGAAAGAGAGAGAGAGAACCAGCAACTTGTATATTCCTACTTTAAATCCCTTGGTATTTATTCTCTAGTTCTGGTGGAGTAGAAGCCTACTTGTAGCAGGTTATACTACAAGATAAAATTGAATTCAGTAAGAAATATTTAAATGAGCTCTCAAGGGATCAACTCAAGCCAAAATCCTTCAGAATTCTATTTTTTGGTAGACAAAGTTTTATTCTCAAAGGGAACTTTATATCCTTGGGTTAAACAAAGACCCTCAAGAAAACCAGAGCTGGCCAAAGACTGAGGAAGAAGGGGTTTTACCATGCCGACTCTCCCTCTGAGGTAGCCACGGAGAACTCCAAGGAGAAAAGCTGTTCTTGGCTGTGGCCAGATGCAGTGACATAAAAAAAAACCTCTAGCTACAGCTTTCCTAGGGATTTGGGACCATGTGGAGTTTGGATCACCGTTTCTAAGATTTCTTATCTGACCTTTCCTTTGAAGGATATACTAAGAATGTACATGAACAATTTTCTAACCCCAAATGCAGGTAATGTCTGCAAGTTTCCCTTGTCTAAAATTTTCTGTTTGTTCTAGGTCCAATGCTAGTGCTCTATAATCAAACCACAGACTGAAAGGGGAAGTGAATTCAGGTCTTGT